ACAGCCCACCGGGTGCGCCTTGAGATCGCCGCGGAGAGTCTCGCGACGGTCCAGAAGGCCCCAAGACGGCCCACGAGGCCCCAGGAGGCCCCCAGGAGGCCGGACGAGCTGCACGCGGGGCCTCGAGAGATGTTGAGCATGCGCGGAGCGCAATCCCACGCGGCAGCAGCCACCAACACGTAGCAGCACCGTATGCACCCTGTTTCCGGGCCGAGCCGAGGAGAGTTTTCCAACGTATCGTGGTTGAGCGAGCGTAGAGCCAGCAGCGATCGTGGCCATGGCGGCGTGGGCCTAGATCAGTTCACAGGGCATCGTGGCCCTGGGAGCGGGGATCCGCTGCGGCAAACGGTGCATCGTGGCCGTACGGCGACAAACACATTCAATGTTACAAGATTCGTTGCTTTGGGAATTCTGTTCCATTGCGTCTCAAGAGGATTCGCAGCCCTTCTTGCACAGACCGATTACGTTTACGATGCATCTTGGCCTGGGGGGGAGCTTTTACAATGCACGCGCCATTTGGTGCGCAAACCAAATTTCTACACTGGGCAGCGGTCCTGGAGGCGGAGATCTAATGCGTTTCGGTTGATATCGTTGCCCTGGACGTAGGGTCGCGGCCCCGTGACTGTGGAGCTGCTGTTCTTGTACATGTGCTTGGGCACCCAAGGTCTCCGAACATGTTTCTTTGGGAGGTGTGACTGCTGCTTCGGACCTCGTGCTGACACACGCTTTCTGGAAACTATGTTTGCCAGCGTGGACAGCAATGAGTGAATGATTGCATTGGAGGTGGGAGTTCTGCTGTGTAAAGCTATGTGGTGGATGTTGTGTCGTATAAGCTATGTGGGTAGGCTACGATGCGGATGTTACGTCTACGCGGTGTAAGTATTGGCCCGTCAATTCATGAGTTGTCAACTCCACTGCTCGTGCAATCATCCCACCCTCCCACCCGCAACGTATTTTGCAACGCCCATGCGGCCGTGATCGCGATGATTGTTTGGCCATGGCTGACGCATCTCTTGGGCCGCGCTGGCGCGCGCAAGGTCGTGCGCAGAGCGGCCAGCTGGTTTGGCACAGTGGCGGCGGCAACTTTCGTGCGCGTCTCAGAGCCCGCGATGGCTCGTGGGCACCTCTGTGCGGGTCGGTGATTCGGGCGTGCGCGATATCCTGATGACTTCGGCAACAGCGGCAACGATGATGAACATAGCGATGGTGGTGATAGCATTGGTTGTGGCGGTAACGGCCGCCGTTGGTTACGACAATGACGATGAGGGTACGACATGCATGTTGGTTACGACAATGACGATGAGGATGTCCATGTGTCGGTGATGGAGGTGATTAATTGATGGTGGCGGCAATGCTGGCGATTTGCGGTGGTAATAAACGCGGTGATGCGATGGCGGTGACGCGATGGCGCTGATCCGGGCGGCGGTGGGGAATTGCGTTCGCGCGGGGCTTATAGGAATCGGGAATACGTCCAGTTGGAAACATATTTTGTACGTGTTCTGGGGGGCTACATTGAAACGTTTGAGAGGTGTCATGTTAGACGGTGACGGCGCGCGTGGCCCGCGTGGAATTATTTGATACGGATTCGTGGATTGGGCACGTGGTCGGGCAGCGCACGTGCAATGCGTGGTGAGGTGATCATGCGCGTTCTGGACGAGATTAATAATATCATAATGATTTCCATCGGATTTTAGCATATGCACGCGGGCAGACAATTTGCAAGAATTGTGATGGAAACCCGCTGCTGCTAATTCCCAACCATCCTGTGGTGTTGGGTCCTCGTTTTGAAGAGACAGCGCCCCGCGTTCACTCCTCCTCCTCCCGCTGCCCCCTCCCTCCTGCCGTCATCATCATCATCACCATCATCATCGTCATCATCATCATCATCATCATCATCATCATCATCGTCATCATCATCATTATCATCATCATCATTATCATCATCATTCCTCTCCTCTCCTCTCCTCTCCTCTTCTCCTCTCCTCTTCACCCACCCAGTACACTGTTTCGTGGCTTCATAGGGAGCTCCACCGAAGGCCCCAGTGCCCGCGCCCGCATGCGTCACCCACACCCATTTCGGCACACCCCTCACACGTTTCGTGGCTCCATAGGGAGCTCCACCGAAGGCCCCAGTGCCCGCGCCCGCATGCGTCACCCATTTCGGCACACCCCTCACACGTTTCGTGGCTCCATAGGGAGCTCCACCGAAGGCCCCAGTGCCCGCGCCCGCATGCGTCACCCACACCCATTTCGGCACACCCCTCACACGTTTCGTGGCTCCATAGGGAGCTCCACCGAAGGCCCCAGTGCCCGCGCCCGCATGCGTCACCCACACCCATTTCGGCACACCCCTCACACGTTTCGTGGCTCCATAGGGAGCTCCACCGAAGGCCCCAGTGCCCGCGCCCGCATGCGTCACCCACACCCATTTCGGCACACCCCTCACACGTTTCGTGGCTCCATAGGGAGCTCCACCGAAGGCCCCAGTGCCCGCGCCCGCATGCGTCACCCACACCCATTTCGGCACACCCCTCACACGTTTCGTGGCTCCATAGGGAGCTCCACCGAAGGCCCCAGTGCCCGCGCCCGCATGCGTCACCCACACCCATTTCGGCACACCCCTCACACGTTTCGTGGCTCCATAGGGAGCTCCACCGAAGGCCCCAGTGCCCGCGCCCGCATGCGTCACCCACACCCATTTCGGCACACCCCTCACACGTTTCGTGGCTCCATAGGGAGCTCCACCGAAGGCCCCAGTGCCCGCGCCCGCATGCGTCACCCACACCCATTTCGGCACACCCCTCACACGTTTCGTGGCTCCATAGGGAGCTCCACCGAAGGCCCCAGTGCCCGCGCCCGCATGCGTCACCCACACCCATTGGCACACCCCTCACACGTTTCGTGGCCCCATAGGGAGCTCCACCGAAGGCCCCAGTGCCCGCGCCCGCATGCGTCACCCACACCCATTTCGGCACACCCCTCACACGTTTCGTGGCTCCATAGGGAGCTCCACCGAAGGCCCCAGTGCCCGCGCCCGCATGCGTCACCCACACCCATTTCGGCACACCCCTCACACGTTTCGTGGCTCCATAGGGAGCTCCACCGAAGGCCCCAGTGCCCGCGCCCGCATGCGTCACCCACACCCATTTCGGCACACCCCTCACACGTTTCGTGGCCCCATAGGGAGCTCCACCGAAGGCCCCAGTGCCCGCGCCCGCATGCGTCACCCACACCCATTTCGGCACACCCCTCACACGTTTCGTGGCCCCATAGGGAGCTCCACCGAAGGCCCCAGTGGCGGCGCTCACATGCGCATGCGTCCCGCACACCCATTTCGGCACATCCCTGACAGGTTTCGTGGCCCCATCATCCACCGGAGGCCCCAGTGGCGGCGCTCACATGCGTCACCCACACCCACCCAATTCGGCACACCCCTCACACGTTTCGTGGCCCCATAGGGAGCTCCACCGAAGGCCCCAGCGGCCGCGCTCACATGCGTCCCCGCCACCCATCCCGGCACGCCCCTCACAACAACAGGTTTCGTGGCCCCATGGGGAGCTCCACCGAAGGCCCCAGTGCTGCCGCCCGCATGCGTCACCACCCGCACCCAATTCGGCACACCCCTCACACGTTTCGTGGCCCCATAGAGAGCTGCACCGAAGGCCCCAGTGGCGGCGCTCACATGCGCCCCCGCCACACATCCCAGTACACCCCTCACGCGCTTCGTGGCCCCATAGGGAGCTCCACCGAAGGCCCCAGTAGCGGCGCTTACATGCGTCTCCGCCACCCATCCCGGCCCCCCCCCCCGCAGCAGCATCATGTTTCGGGGACCCATAGGGAGCTCCACTGGAGGCCCCAGTGGCGGCCCGCACATGCGTTTCCGCCACCCATGTCGGCACGCCCCGCGCGTGTTTCATGTCCCCATAGGGAGCTTCGCCGAATGCCCCAGTGGCACCCATCTCGGCACACCCCCTACACGTTCCGTAATCCTATGGGGAGTTCCATTGAAGATGAAACCCGCAGCTGTGGTACTGACAACTGCATATGGTTGGGTTCTTCGCCAGGCTAATTTTGTTATATTGGCTTGTCTACGCATGTAATGTGCCTGGTCGGATTTCCACGTGTACGCGCGCGTGGGCTGTACGATGTTTTGGTGCAGGGGGTTCCTTCTGAGGTAGACGAGTGCACCCGCATTAAATATTTGTTGGCAGGGATGAAGGGGGTGTCGATATTAGTTGGGCTGGGGTGGTATGAGTTCATGTGGTCCATGAGGGGGGAGGCATAATCATAGGTTATTGCAAAATGTCCCAGGCCTCTCAACATGCCCGCTGTCGGGAAGGGGGGATCCTATTGCTCTTTTGATTGGAGAACCTATGTGGCGTGAATTGTACCGTGAAGCCTATGTGGTGTGGAATCGGGGTTGCAGCTATGCGGTGCAAGCTGTGTAGTGTAATAGATGTAGTGTAACGTGTGCGATGTGGCGTATGGTATGTGTTGCAAGTTATGTGGTGTAATTTTTGCGCACGGGGCGTCCACGAGCGCCCACGAGGCGTCACGGGCGGCAGCGTGGTGCGCCCTCGGCACACCCACCCAGCGTGCGGGGCGCCCATGAGCGCCTACGAGGCGGCAGGGGTGGCATTGCGACGCAACTCCGGCGGACCCAGCCAGCGCACGAGGCGCCCACGAGCGCCCACGAGGCGACACCTGGCCGCCTCGTCGAAAATCATCGGCGGACCCAACACACTGCTGGACAAGGAGAAGCAAGAAACCATAAGTGCTAGCACAGTTCGGGGAATACTTGAGAAGCAATCTTAACAATACGCTCAGGATGGCCAATGTCTGATGCTTGAGTGGGCTTAGCAAATGCTGCTATTGCTCAACAGTCCTTTGGTGTTGGTGAAGTGTCAAGGCGTTTGAATTCCTACGGCGGTTGGCGTTTCAGAGTTGCGCTGCGATCTTGCAGGATGACACACGTGTTCAGCAGCCCGGTGCCCCACTAGGGGGTCGGCGTGTCATGGATACGTTCACGTCTTCTTTTGCACCGACACCTTCGCCTGACTCCTGGGATTCTCTCGGTGTTTCCCGTGCAGGCTCTTCGTGCAAGGACTGCAAAGCGATGGCCGACGGGCGGCGTGCTTAGATGACATTTGCAACGTTGCGGGCGTTGCTTTGCCCGTTTTAAAGTTAGATTTTTGTTCAACCCGTTTTGGCGCAGTTTTCATATGGTTTTCAGATCCAGGTTCGGAAATGTCCTACCGTTTTGTTTGCTATTGTAATGCGTTCCTGGATCTCCGAATGCCGCCTATTTGACGCCAATTTTCTGGGAAGTAGTTTCTAACATTCTTTGGCCGAGTCCACAGCGGACCGTGGACAATTGCAACACATGCCCCAACCGATTCTAGTAACAACTAAGGCGGTGTGGCGACGAACCGCTGCGGTGGGTCTGCGGCAAGACTGTGGAAGAGTGCGTCGACGAGTGCCTCGACCAGGGGGAGCAGTGCGAGTACTTTGCTTACGACGAGGCTGGTAATTGCATATTGTACGAGACGTGCACTTCCTTTGTGCAGAGCGAGGGCGAGTCTTACACTGTCTTCACCATCCCATTGAAAACTTCTTTCATTCCTTTCTTCTACCGCTGATGGCCGCTTTGTTTCACCACGCCTCATGTCGCTTCGAACTGTTCCAGGCGCTGGGTCAATCACAAACCTTCGTGATTGCGCAGTGCTGGCAAGTGACGGCTGGCCCGGGACCACAGCGGTATGCAATGGTGGTCTAGGCCTCCTAGATGGGGTCCGAGTAGATGGGGTCGGAAGATCGCGCCGCATCGCCGATGCATCGGCGATGCAGCTCGATGTGGAGCTTGATTTCCTCGACGCCGACGTCGCCGATGCATCACCCACGTCGACGATGCATCGTCGGTGCATCGCCGACGCATCGCCGATACATCGCCGATGCATCGGCGATGCGGCGCCATCCCCCGACCCCATCTACTCCGACCCCATCTAGGAGGCCTCTAGGTGGGCAAATTCAGGATCAGCTCGGTTTTTCCATGTCACTTCATGCTTTTCCACGCAAGCTTGGTCGAACTGCTGCGCGTCCTTCGCCCCACCCTGCGAGGCCCTTTGCCGTCCGTGCGGCTATTCAGAGGGGCCGCGCGCGCGAGGGCTGCGGAGCGGGAGCACTATGCAGGGCCCTTATTTTCACCCGAGTTCATCCATTGCTGCCCAGGTGGTCGCACACTGTGCAGTTTTGGGCGTACCTCCGTTCCCTTCTGCTCTGTCCGCCATCTCAGAAGATATGTGGTTTTCAATCCCGCCGTTTTTTCTCGGTTTTGGCCCCGGGGGCCCGTCATCGGGCCATCGAAAATGTGTCGACAGGCGGTCCCCGAGGAAGGGGTCGGGTCCTTTGGGGGCATATCAGCGGGTGCCTGGGGTCTTTGTCGTTCCTGCTCGGGAGCATCTTCAAGGGTTCTGGCGTTCCTTCCACTATCTGTCTAGAGATCGCCAAGGCGCCAGGCGGCGGGAGAAGGCGTTGGTGAGGTTTGCCAGGTCGCGGCCCGGGCTGCGCGCGGAAACACGCGTTCCCCTCCATGAGCCCTTTTGGGTGCACGATGTCCGAGATTTGCAAGAGGTTCCGTCTAGAGAGTGGGCAAGAGGAGTTTAGCCTTAGCTGTTGTCCAACAGTTGTCCTGTTGTTTCTTGCCTAGCGATGTTGTCATACGTGCACGCATTGCGCAATGGATCGTCACCGGCTCACCTAGATGCACGCCGCTACAAGTGTTTGTGAGCCCTTGAATACCACCGTTGCGCAAAGCCCGGTACATGCAAGCCTTGCCATGGAATATGGTTGCATCCTGTCCCTAAGTTTGGACCTTCACACTCCCCCGTCATATGTCCCGTCCTTCGACCTCCCCCTCTCCTCCCATGTCCTCGTTCCCTATGCCCCCCCCCTCCCCCTCTTTCCTTCCCTTTCCCTCCACTCATCCCCAGCACTGGCCCACAGGTGCCCCTCTCCCCCCATTCCCAGCACTGGCGGCTTGGCGCTTTCATCTGCTCTGGCCCAAGTGCGGTCGGAAACCGTTCCTCCTGGGGTCCGTCCTGACCAGCTGTTCGAGGCGGATCTGGCCGTGGCGACGAGAAGTCTCCAGGAGGCCCCGAAAGACATGCTTCAAGGCACGGCGCTGCCGCGACACGCGGAGCACAAGTTCCTGAGTGTAATCCTTCGCGATCGCGCGTCTCCCTGGGAGCCACGCCCCACGCCCGCCGCGGGCGCCCGTGGTCGGGGCCTGGGAGGGCCCACCCCTGTCTGGGGAAGGGGAGAGGGGGGAGATGAGGCCGCGCACGCTCCTGTCACACGACCCCCGAGCTTCTCGTCTTCCTCCACACCCTTTGGAACCCACTCGTGGCGCACGGTCGCCAGCTGTTGCCGCGCCGCCTGGTGTGCGAATCGGGGTTCCCGGGTCGGCGCCACGGGCGCGGAGGTCCGGGGAGCGGCACCCGTTTCACGTCGGCGGGAGTGCGGGCAGACGTTTGAGCGACGCCAGAATACGGGGCCGATCGCGCGGACATTCGGAAGTGGAAAAAGATACCCATACCGCTACCCGTCCTTCGTGTTTGCCTCTTTTAGCCTCTTCGGAGGCCCTCGTCGCTACCGCTGGATTCGCCTCGAAATTCTGGTCAGAAAGCCCCCCGGGGGAGGTCCAGGGAGTGCCGGTATCGGTACCTGCTGTTTTCCCTGGACAGTCGCGCGTGAGTTGCCCGCGTAAGGTCGCGCGTCAGCGCCTTCGCTTCCAATGCAGTCTGCCGCGCTGGCGGCCCGCGGAAGCTGCGGCGTAAGGTCGCTACGTCATCTCGCGTAAGACCTGTTTCTGATCGTCGCTCACCCGAGCGACCTCAGGGGCAACGTCTGGGGGGGATGTGCTCAGGGAAAAGGCATCACCCCAAAATCGCCCATCAATCGCCGATGAGGGGCCCCATGGCAATTTCTATCGGTGATGTATCGCCAATTACAGCTCGATGCGTCACCTTCTGAGCCGATTTCCTCTGACGTTTCCCCCCTCATTCGCGCGCAAGCTGTTCTCGTGAGGTCACGCATAAGTTATAAGCTTCATATGTTCCATTTGGCGTGCCGCACCAGGGTCCGTCGCAAGCCGCCTTGTAAGGCCGCCATGTCTTCGCGCTTGAGATCCCAGTCTCTTCGTCGCCCGCTGAGGTTTCACTGCGTACGGCAGTAGCGGCACCCGTTCAACACGCGGCCGTCACTGCCGACCTCTCCGGCTATTTGAGCGTCTAGTCAGTCGTTTTCGGCCGCGATCTGTTGCCGTGCGCCGTCTGGCCGCGCAAGGGATGTGGAAGTGTGGAAGTGTTGGGGGGGAAAGGGGAGAGAGATACAGAGAGAAAGAGAGAGAGAGAGAGAGCGAGCGAGAGAGGGAGAGAGAGAGAGAGAGAGAAGAAGAGAGAGATAGAGAGAGAGAGAGAGCGACAGAGAGAGAGGGGGGATTACCGCCATCACATGAGAGAGAGAGAGAACAAAAAAAGAGAAAGAGATAGAGAGAGGAGGGGGGGTAACGAAAGTGGGTGGAGGGCCGCGTAGGGGCACAGACGGAGCAGAGACGGGGGGCTGGATGAGTAAGGCGGGGAGCAGGAGCAGGAGGAGGAGGAGGAGGAGCAGGAGGAGGAGCAGGAAGGCGGGGAGCAGGAGGAGGAGGAGGAGGAGGAGCATGAGGAGACAGAGAATTGAAATCAGGCGGAGGCTGCTCTGGATCATTACGATGGCGACGGGAGTTTCCTGGGAGATGCGAAGAAGGATCACGAGAGGAGTTGCATGGTGGCGGGAGAGTGAGAATAGAGGAGGGGCGATGTATGACAGAAGGCAGGTGGTGCAATGTACATGCAGACCTCGAGGAGGATAAAGGAAGGATGATGCCTGAGAAAAGGGGGCGTGAGAGGGATGTGCAACAGGATAGAAAGGAGGAGGCACCGCTCGGATAATGCCCACGGAGACGGCGATGATGGCCCAGGTATCCGACGATGAGATTCGTTTCAGTCCGCAGCCCCAGAGCTTTCGAGCCCCTCCCTGGGGGTAGCATTTCGCCGCGATCCGTTCCCGGGGGTGGCAGGAGGGGGGTGATGACCAGGGGGGGGAGGGGGGAGATCATGGCGGCGACCATGACATCTGCACGGGTATCATGGCCCCCTCTTGTTTCTGAAAGTCACCTGGCTCCCCCCCCCCAGGCCGCACACATGCCTCGGGCCATGGTCTGCGAGCCCCCCTCTTGGATGCCCCCCGCCCCCGCCCTTGGACACTTTTTTGCAATCCATGCGAAGCCCAGCGGCAGAGCCCCCCCGCCCTCGGGCACACCCGGCCCATTCTTGAAGGCCCCTACAGGGCCCGCGGGCGGTCTCTCCGGAGGCAGGGCCTCAAGGAGAGGTCGCCGCGCCTGCAGCAACAAGCCGCCCGCCGGATTTCGAAGGCTGGGCACAGGCGGCAGCGACCGATCCCTTCTTGGGTCGCGGGCCCAGCGAGCGCGCAGGTCGGTCGAGCGCCACGGGGCGGCTGTGCGGCGGACTGAGCACTGCCAGGGACGGAGGGGGAGGACTGGGCTGCGGCCGCGGAGGGAAGGGAGCGGGAGGGCGGCCCCCTCAGACCATGCAGGTCGGGCGGCTGACACACAGGGCCGCGCAATCCCGCGAGCTCGTTGCTGCTTGCGGTCAACCCGCACAGTAAGGATGCACGACTTTCCAAGGCTACCCCTCGGCATCCTTCCCCTTCGGCCCATCCTCGGCCGCTTTTGCTGGCAGCGCCCCGCTCGCAGAGTGTCGACATGGCCTTGCAAGGTTTCTGCATCCTTTTAGCGCGTCCTTATAATACGGGTTGACTGTACCTGGAGTTTGAGGCGCGGAGGCCAGTAGAGGCGTGCAGCGGCCAGCGCGCGAAGTGAGGCGACGCGAGGCTGCAGTGGCATCATGCCTGGCGAGCGTCATTCGACAATCGCATGGGGGAAGCTGGTTCCTGTGGGGAAGTGGGCCTGGCGGCTCTTTGCCGTCCTCGGGACCCCTCAGCCCTCCACAGGCCCTGGGACCGTCAAAGCATGACTCGGGACGAGGAGCTGGTCCTAGGGTCTGGGACCTGTTACTCTCAGGACCACTTTTCTTCGTGCCGATCGATGGGGGGGGAGTTCCTCCTTGAACGGCGACATAATTTTAGTGGTAGCGCGAGCTCCTTCGCTGAGCTCACGGACACGTGGGTGGACACCGGCTGATTGCACTCTCTCGTCTTTTCCTCCTCTCCACCTCCAGGCGGGTTCACTCCGCGTCGACGCGCCGGCGACATTGGCGCGGGCGTCCAAGGTTCAAGGTTGCCAGTGGCCCCTGTCAGTGGCCCTAGAGCCGGCTGTTGTCGATCGATTGGCGCTATCGGAGAGTCGCTACTTCTCTTAGCTCAACGATGCACACGGTGTCGGAACCCCAAAGCCGGCGTCTGCGCGGCGTGAACACCGACCACACCCAATGGTGATGTTTCGCCGCAGTGACCTTTGATGCGTGCCCGCTGGGATCTTCAGGTCGCTGGGCGCGGTAGGGCAGCTCCGGCAGGTGGTTTGGAACAGGCCGTGAAGACAGATATCGGCATCGAAGCGGAGGGGAAAAGGGGGCACCGAGCTCGAGACGTCCTGGAGGCGCCCCCCCCCCACTCCACCCGAAGGCCTCCTCCTTCTCCTCGTTCTCCTTATCGCGCCCTCGAGTCTCGATGCTCCTTGCATCATCTGAGCATGTGGCGATGTTTTTGTCCAAAGGTGCATGAGACTCTAACCAATCGAAAGCGATCGATCATCTCATCCATGGCGGGTCGCAGCCGCTTCCCCCGACTCTGTTGGCCAATTTCCGTCACTTGTTTATGGATCGGCTAGGACGTCTTTCAGGCGCGTGGGATCGAACCGTACAAACGTATCCATCGGGAGCCATTTTTTTTCAGTGAATTGTAAGAAAGCCAAAAGCGGGCGCCGTGTTTTGCTTGTTTTTCCCACCCCCTAAGTGTGCTTCTTGCTTTCTCAGCCCCCACCGCGCAGGACCCCCACTCCACTCTCCCTTGTCCTTCTAGTATCACCATCGTCCTCATATCCATCATCACATCATCATCATCATCATCATCATCATCATCATCATCATCATCATCATCATCATCAGCATCAGCAGCAGCAGCAGCAGCAGCAGCAGCAGCAGCATCACCATCATCATCATCATCATCATCAATATCATGATCATCGTCATCATCAGCATCGTCATTATCATCATCAGCATCAGCATCAGCATCATCATTATCATCATCGTCATTATCATCATCATCATCATCAGCATCGTCACCATCATCACCATCACCATCACCACCTTTTTCATCACCACCACCACCATGATAATCATCACTACCATCTTTGTCGCCATCACCATCATCATCATCATCACCAACAGTAGCAGCAGTATCGGCACGATCACCATCACCATCATCACCATCATCATCATCATCATCATCATCATCATCATCATCATCATCATATTCATCATCATCACCATCATCAGGAGCATCATCATCAGCAGCAGCACTGACATCACCACCATCAGCATCATCATCATCCTCTTCACCACCAGCATCACCATATGCTTGCTCTCTGAGTGGCTTTATCTTCGCAGTTCTGCGTGTCGCAACACTGCGGCTCAAGTCTTGATTCGCGCGGCTGCCATGCAAGATCTCGCTCGTTCGTTCGGAGAAGTGCTGCGATACAGGGCCCAGGGGCCGTGGAAGCCTCCGTGGTGGCACGGGCGGCCGCGCCAAGCTGCAGGGCCTGCTCGCCGCAGCTCGCCTGCCCCGCCATTCCGCTCTCGTCCGCGCGGGCGCGGGGGGCCAGGTGGTGTGAGCCCTGCTTCGGGGGAGTGGTCGCGGCCTACTCGCTCGCAGCATTGGTCGTCGGCCTGGCGGTCGGCGCCGTCGGAAGCGGCCTACTCGCTCGTCGTGCCGCTGTCGAGCCCGCTGCCCCCATCTTCGGAAAGACGGCTCGCGCCCAGGCGCGCGCCGCCAGGGATAAGAAGTCGGGCTCCCAGTGATTATGTCTCACCGGATGCAACTGCACATTGTTAGATGCCGTGTTGGTGGAACTCACGTGTGGCATGGGAGGCTCATTATACTTCGGGGACCTGGGACCACAGGCAATGTCCTCACCCCAACGGAGACCGCTACGAGGAGGGCTGAGCCCCCGACGCCGGCATCGAAGCGGTCCTTGTTCTGTCTGCATGTCCAGGGCGAGCGGCCTGCGGGCTTGATGGTATACGGATTCAAGGCGCTGCCGACCGCCGTAGACGCGTGGACGGGCATCCTGGAGGCCGCCCAGCTGTTCCGGGTCGGCCGCCCTGCCTCGCACGCCTCCATGCCCTTGGCGGCGGGCGAATTAGGCGACCTGGCGACAGGCGCGCAGGCGTTGACTGGCCCAGCCACGCCTGCGGCGCCCGCGGCCGTTGGCCCTGCAGCCTGGGCGCAGCGCCCGCTGAGGCGGCGCCCGCCGCACCTGCGGGTGTGGGCGTCGGCATGCTTGGCCTGGTGGCGGCGCTGGGGGGCGCGGGCGGCCCCACCCTGCCGCGCCCGCTGCGGCCCCCGCCACGCCTGTGGCGCCGCCCGCCGTGTCCGCGGCGGCGACCGACCTGCGCGTGCATCTCGTGACCATCGACGCCCGTGGCCATCGATGGAGGGGGTTCCGAGATGGACAGATGGCGGTGCGTTGGCCGAGGACCGCGGCGTGGGTGCGCGCCCACATTCGTCGCCGCCTTTCGTCCCCGTCGGCTTGGCATCCGAAGTGGATGGCGGAGTGGCGGATGTCAGAGGACGGCCCACTCATTAGAGAGCACGGTCTGCTGTGCCGCATCTTGGAGTTGGCCGTTTGCTACGACCAGGTCACCGCGTGCGAGCTCGCGCACCTGGAGATGACCGCGCGCCACCTCCAGCTTCTCGGTGAGAAGGTCGTAGAGCAGGCCTAGACGTTCAAGCCGAAGGGTAGCGACAAGAAGGACAAGGACAAGGGTCACCCCTTGGACGACCGCTAAGGAAACGGCCTTCGGCCCGTCGCGGTGGAGAGCATGGGCAACGTCTGCGCGTGCCCGTTGCTGCCGCTGCTCAGCCAGCGGTTCGCGGACGAGTTGAAGGCCGCGGCTGCGGTGGCAAAGAGCGCAGGAGGGCCCGCGAGGAGCGGGCGGCGCGCTCATAGCCATCAGCGCCTCGCTTCCCAGCGGCGGGCGGGGTTCTCGGGCCTGGGCTTTGCACGGTTTCGTGATGACAGCTTCTCCCGATGGCCGTCAGCGTAACCCCCTTCCTGTTGCTGGTCGCGAGGCGTGAGGGCCCCAGAAGTCCTCGGGGGCCTGGCGAGGCCGACGATTCCAAGCGCGCCCTGACAGTCGGGGCGGGCGCCCCCGGGTTCATCGAGGCCCCCTGGGGCGTCTCAATTGAAGGATTCCCCATTGGAGGTGTCCCACTCTTCGAAGGGGGGAGTCCATCTTCGAGTCTACGGGGGGCGCGTTGGACTTCGCCTTCCGCCGCCCCCCCCGCTCGGGGTCCGCGCAGGATCGCCGCCTCCTCCTCTCCGTGGACACTTTGGCACTAGCTCTTAGCGCTCTCATGGGCCGCGGTCGCGCGGTCAAACCTTGCCGGGTCTTTGCGTCGCGCTGGGCGCCGTCGGACCTTCGCACGCCCGGTGCCGCCCCGTCGCAGTTTGGTTTCGTCGCGGGGCCGCCGTGGATCGGAGGCGATCAGGGCGGGGGCGGCCCCCCGGGGGCGAGGCCGCGCTGGTCGGCCGCCGCGGGCTATGGCGCTGTTCCTCCAGAGGCCTGCCCAGCAGGCGCCGCTCCTGGAGCTGGCGAGCGGGCGCCTGAGCTTCCTGGAGGCCGCGGCGCCCACCGACGCCACCGTCAAGCTCTACGCGGCCCGCCCAGAGGCTGAACACTAGGTGCCTTTGGATGGGGCCCACGTGGCCGCGCGTGCAGGGGCCCGACGTCTTCTCGACGGCTCTCCTGGCGCGCTTGGCCTTAGACGGCTTCGACGCGGCGGCGGGGAGAGTCTGGATGGCGGCGGTGCGCCAGCTGCTGCCGCGGTTCGGCCCCCTGCGAGCCTCGCCGCCGAGGGCGTTCGAGGCCTTCGAGGGAAGGGGGAAGCTGAAGCCTCCGTGCATGCGCCTGCCGATTCCCTACCCCGCTGTCATGGCGACCGTTGGCGTCGTGATCTCGCTCGGCCAGCTGCGCTTCGCGATGTCCGCGCCGCCGTGACCGACGTGCGCGACGCCTTCAATCGAGCGGCGGTGCTCGTGGGCATGGAGGCGCAGCCCTTTCTGCACGTGCTGCGGCACAGCGCGGCCAGCGACGACCCCCTGGCTGCGCGGCAGCCCCCCCACGGCGTGAATGACCGCGGCGGGTGGGTCACGGACTGCTCGCGTCGTCGGTGCGCCGAGCGGACCGAGTTGCAGCGACAGTTGAACGACCTGTTCAACGATGTGCTCACGTCCGGCCACTTGGTGGACGCGAGCCCCGTGGAGCTGATCGAGGCGGCTGCCCTGGGCCAGCCGCTGCCGTGGCCGGCGCCGCAAAGGCTGGCCGCGTCTTCTCGCGGGCGGCAGAATCCGCCTCAGTTGACCAGGTGGGCGGTTATCTGACTCGGCAGCTCTCTTCCGCTCTGAGTGGCGCCCGCGTTTTGCCTCGCTTTGCGTTCGTCGGCCTCGGAGCCGCTGTGCGGCCCATCTCGGCCCGCAGTGCCACAAAGCGTGTGAGGGGGCTCCCTGTGGGGGCCGCGGAGCGTGTGAGGGATGTGCCAGAATGGACCCGAGGAACCACGCGGACCCTGCCACAAAGGCTTCCGGCGGATCTTCTTATGGGGGCGACGAAGAGTGTGAGGGGTGTACCACATGGGCCCGAGCAGCCATGCGCACCCTGCGTCCGAGGCCTTCGGCGGGGCACTGTCTGGGACCGCGAAGCGTCTGAGGGATGTTCCAGAATGGAGCCGAATAAACATGTGGACCCTGCCGCTGGGGCCTTCGGTGGGCATCCCTATGGGACCGTTGTGAAGGGTGTGCCAGAATGGACCCGAGTAACCATGCGCACCCTGCCACTGGAGCTGTCGGCGGAGCTCTACCGGAATGGACCCGGTAACCACGCGGATCTTGCCGGTGGGGCCTTCGGCGGAACACCTTTTGGGGCCACGTAAAGTGTAAGGGATGCGGCTCCCGAAATGATGATGGTGGTGATGATGATGATGATGATGACGATGATGATGATGGTCTTGGTGGTGTGGTTGAGATGCTGAACATGGTGGCGGTGACACGGTGATGATGATAATGATGATGGTGCTGATGCTGATGCTGATGATGATGATGATGATGATGATGATGATGATGATGATGCTGATGATGATGATGATGATGATGATGATGATGATGGTGATGATGATGGTGATGATGATGATGTGGATGGTGTGGTGGTGGTGATGGGAAGAGGGAACAGGAGGATGTGGAATTCGAGGGAAGAGTGAGTAGGAAGAGGAGACGATGAGAGGAGAAGGAGACGCGCGATGCTGCGAATGTATAACGAGGGCCCAACACGCAGGAGGGATCGGAAATAATGTAAAGTCATCGCGGGCCGCCCGAGCATTATCCATAATCTGCTGCAACGTGCATATCGATTTTTTGGTTGACAGAGATGGCGGTGTAGCGTTGGCATTATCCCTGGTTTGTCGCCGGTCGGGTGGGGGTGGTGTCTTGGAATCCTGCTGCAGTTCGCGAACCAAGCGCTCCCGACCCTTTCCGAGGGGACGGTTGGTCGCCCCCGATCATTTTCCGATGAGCCCCGCGCGTAGAAATTCGCCCACGGCGACCGAAATAGAGAAAAAACTGAAGATTGGAAACTCGTCCCGCCCGAAGTTAGGGCGCAAGGAATGAGGAAAAGATCGCACGGGCGGAGTGTCGGAAGAATAATTTCCCCAGCGAAGGACCTAAATCATTGTGAACGCGTGGCGACTATTAGCAGGAGCGTTCAGTGCCATGAACAGATTGAGGAACCTGCAATACCCCTGAAAGCTTCGCCAAGAAGCTCAAACTACAGTCAAAGCCGCCCCATTCACGAATGCACCTTTACTGGGGCCTTCAGTGGAGCTCCCCATGGGGCCACGAAACGTGCTGAAGGGTATGCTGAAATGGGCCCGAGTACACATACGAATCCTCCACTGGAGCCTTCGGTGGAGCTCCCTATGGGGCCACGAAGCGTGTGAGGGGTGTGCCAGCATGGACCCGCATAAGCACACGAACTCTGCCACTGAAGCCGTCAGATGAGCTCCCTGTGGGGCTACGAAGCGTGTGAAGGGGTTTTCCGAAATGGACCCGAGTTCGCATGCCAACCCTGCCACTGGAGCCTTCGGTGGAGCCCACTATGGGGCCACAGAAAGGGTGAAAGATGTGGCGAAACGGTGATTTCAATGATGGTGGTAGCAACGAGTATGAAGGCGATGATGCTGACGACGACGATGAGGATGATACTAATGACAAGGATAAGGATGAAGAGGAGCGGAGAGGGAAGAGGATGAGGTGGACGAGGTGGGGCTCCGTATGGGGACACACGAAACGTGTGAGGGGTGTCCCCAAACGGACCCATGTACGAATGCCAACCTTGCCATTAAGGCCTTCGGTGGAGCCCCCATCTGAGGCCGCGAAGCGTGTGAAGGGCGTGCCGAAATGGACCTGAGAACGCATGCGAACTCTTTTACTGGAGCCTCCGGTGGTGCCCCCACATGGGGTCACGGAAAATGAGAGGGGTTTGCCTAAATGGACCCGAGTACGCATGCCAACCCTGCTTGTGGGGCTTTCGCTGGAGGTCCATATGGGGCCACGAAGCATGTGAAGAGTGTGCAAGATGGACCCGAGTAACCATGCGAACTTTGAAATTAGAGCCTCTGGTCGAGCTTCCTACCGGGCCACCACGCAGCGTGTGCGGGGTGTGCCGGCATGGACCCGAGTACTCATGCGAACCATGCCACTGGAGCCCTCGGTGGAGCTCTCGACGGGGCTACGAAGTGTGTGAGGAATGTGCCAGGACGGACCCGAGTTCGCATGCCAACCCTGCCACTGGAGCCTTCGGTGGAGCTATGGGGCCACAGAAGTCGTGAAGGGCGTTGCGAAACGGTGATGTCAGTGATGGTGATAGCAACGTGTATGAAGGTGATGATGCTGACGACGACGAGGAGGATGATACCCATGACAAGGATGCTGAGGAAGAGGGGAGGAGAGGGAGGAGGATGAGAAGGCCGAGGTGGGGCGCGGCGCTGTGGACTCAACATGCGGTCCCAACATACAGGAGGCTTTGGAGACAGTGAAACAGACCGACAGCAGTCCCTCCCAATTTTTGGAGGAGGAATCGCTGAACGAGAAGCGCTTCCCTAAAAGTCGATTAAGAACAACATGTTCTGTTGGGCGGCGATCTCAGTGTTTTTCTGACCCATTCTCGGAGCATGCAAAGATCCTCGATCCCAGACATCCGACGTATTCTTTTTCAAGCATTGGGTTCCCTGAAGACCCGAACATTTCCCCGGAGCCAGCGCTTCAGACCGGGTCACTTGGCGACAGCCCTGGCGCTGGGCGAGGGTCGCAGAGGCCTAAAACCTCAAACACACATGTGAAATTTTGTTTGCCATACTTGCGCTGCAGGTCTGGTTCTCTGGGCAACCAAGTTGGAAATCCAGCGGCCATTCGGGACGATTCGGACACACCCGCAATGCCCTCGGCGAGGCGCAGTTGCCAGGAGGCACGCCGAGGCGAGAAAGCGTCCAACAGCCACCGCAAATCTTCGATGACCATGCCGGGCGTGCTGACTCCTCGATGGCCGAGGGGCAGAACTCGGAACCCCGTGGTCGGCATAATCATGCTATGTGTGCGTCGGCTCGCAGGGTCTACTCGCACGCTCAGAGACCTCATAGCCTAACCTCGGCGGGCGCGTTCTGGCCATCGATGCGCTTCGGTAAACGATATGCTACAATATGACTGTACTATAGGTTTGTGTCGGACGTGCACCTTTGACCTACGTATTTTCGTGTCGGACGTGTGACTCAAACATAATCACGCAGTTCGAGCATTCCAGGCCTTACAGCTGGGGCTGGAGTTCATGTGGTCGGACGATCGTGCGCAACGGGGATGAGGCGCGGCCCTCCGACATGACCTGCACAACCCTGCGGTCTAGAACGTCACCCTTCGGCGCGACACGCTAACCGCGTCCGGGTCCCCAGGCATGAACTTCCCGAGCCTCTCCCGCCCCCCCGCCCCGCGGAGCGGCGCTTCACGCTATCCGCTCGCAGGGCACTGCCTGTCGCTTGGGCCGCCGCCGCGACCCGCGAAGCCAGAGTTCCCGACCAGCTCTGTGCTTGCGTCGGCCCTGCAGGGGGCGACGGGCACGCCCAGGAACTTCACGGCACAGCCTCCGTGTCGGGCGCGTTCTGGCCATCCACGCCGCCCGGGAGACGGGTTGCCAGAAGATGTCAGCGCTACAAGCTCGTATCGGACACGCGCCTCCAACGTACGGTAGGTTCATGCGGCGTTGGCGCGCCAGCGACGCCCGCGAAGGCGTTGCATGATGAATTCTGCGACGCGGAAGGGCCGATGGACGTGGTGACGCCAGCGGACCCGACTGAATTAAGCCTGGAGCGATCGGGCCCGCGATCAGTTCAGGACCGACGCAGTGTCAGAGTCTTTGCGCGCGCCGACACCGCACGAATTCATCGCAACCGTACGCGGACGACAAGTCTCACAAGTATCGGTGCAAAAGCGAAGTCACGCCGCTGAGGGCTTGGCCCCCAGCGCATCGAGGCGCGCGGGCGGGGAATCATTCGGCCAAGAGCCCAGCGCGCCCGTCAACTTGGAAGGAGCCGCTCAGCTAAGAGTGCCCAGCGCGCCTCCCATTCTTCAAGGGCACGCTCAACGATGACGCATCAGCAGGTTCCACTCTGCGGCGTCGCGTTCGTTGCGACGATGCAGCAATGCAGTGTCGTGCCGACGCGGCGGGCGACCCTGGCGCGGGCGTTCGAGGTTGAGCGCCGCCAGCGGCAAGAGTCCTCACCTCGCGTTCCGCCACCGCACGGTCTTGAAAAACCTCGGAGGCCCCGTTTCGCACGAGACGTCCTCGGGGAGCGACCCGAGTCCTAAACCCGTGCGGTCACCCCCAGTCCTCATTGGCTCGCCACACGGTGTGGTCTCCACACCGTTTTAGGGGGCCCCCGGAGCTCGCATGTACTGCAGCGTGCCCTCCTGCGCCCCGCGAGGATCAAGGAGGAGGTCAAGCGGAAGCAGTACGACGCCGCCGTGCAGCTCCACGACTTGCGCGCCGCGGCGCCTTGCGCCCCGCCGAGGGTGCGAGGGAGGGAGACCTTGGAGACTCTGCCTTGTCGCGTAGCGGTATTAGGGTGGGAGGGAGGGAGAGGATGAGGGAGGGAGGGAGGGAGGGCGGGAGGAGGAGGAGGAGGAGGAGGAGGCGGAGGATTGCGAGGAGGAGGAGGAGGAGGAGGCGGAGGATTGCGAGGAGGATCAAAGGAGCGCAAGCTGAGACAACGGTAGTTGGCCTTGGGGGTGAGGGCCCTCGTCGCCACGGCCGAACGCAGCTCGGGGAATTCGTTGCGTTTGGACCCCTGGAGGCGTCTGGGGACCAGTTTTGAGCTGCTGTTGCCTCAGCTCGCCCTGCCCCGACGGGGCGTTCCCGCGATGCCCGTGCGGCCCCTCCAGGCCACCCCCGCTTCGCGAGGCCCCCGGGGCCCGAGGGGCCAGGATCGCCCTCCCCCCCCCCGATCCCGACCGGGCAGGCAGGGAAGCCAGAGGTTTTGGGCAAGACGCCGGCCGGCAGGCGCCGGCGGGGGGGAGGGGCTGGGCAGCGCATCCAGAAAGAAAGGCACGGCAGCGCGTTCAGAGTGGCCCAGGTGCCACGGCCCTCGACGACCCCCTTGCGGAAGGACAGAGAGGCAGAGACAGGAAGAGAGAGAGAGAGAGGCAGAGAGAGAAACAAAGCAAGACATACGAAACAATGGAGAGAGCGAGAGAAAGAGAAATATTGAAATAACGAGGGGGAGGGAGGCAGGGAAGGAGGGAGGGAGGGAGGGAGAGAGAAGGGAGGGAGGGAAGGAGGTATGAAGCGAGGGAGGGAGGGAGGGAGGGAGGGAGGGAGGGATAGAGAGAGAGAGAGCAAAACACAAACAAGCGGATAGAGATAGGGAGAAAGAGAGAGGGAGAGAGAGATGGATCAGGACACGTGTACGCAGGATGCATAAATACAGATGTTGGCTATATGTGTATTCACCTATGCAGATACAGCGCGTTCGATGTTTGTTGTGCCTTCTGGGCGTATCCATTTTTGCATCCCGAATCCCATGGCTCCAGCGTCTGGAAAGCATGGGCACGTTTTGCTACCTTAGAGCTTGTAGCTTTCGGGGCCAGCTTCGGGCTCGTCTCAAACAACCATGCAAATCGAAAAGACCGTCCCCCGCAAGGGGTCGGTAGGTCCGTGGGCAACCTACTGAGAACACGCATACTCGCCACGCGTGTGGCATGACTTGGAGGGTGCTCCAGACAGGGAGTCGAGATGTTGGCATGTCGCCCCCGACGGGGACCGGCAGAAGGTCCGCGGAAGCCAGCGGAAGTAGAGGCTGACTCTCGAAGAGTGTTCAACACAGGCTACCCAGGGGCTCTGGAGTCGCAGGCGATTTTTCTCCCCCGGTCCACAAGCTCTGCCCGAAAAGTTTGGCCCTTCAGAAAAAGGGGGTAACCCTGGGATACACCCCACGGGGGCTATTCGGACGCACCCCTATTGAGGATGGACGCCCCCCCCAGTAGATCCAAGGGTTGGGCCCCAAATTTGTTATCCAGTCGGAATCCTCCCAAAACCTGGGATGGGGGTCGACATATCCCCAGATATGGAATTGGCCAGCCAGAGGTTAGCGCTTCGTGAGGCCGCGACTGCCCACGTGGACCGCGTGGCCTTCGTCCTCTCCTCTGTTCCTAGCGCGCTGGCCCGAGCTCCACCTCGAACGCCCCGCCGCCACGACACACGCGCTCGGCCTCCCAGGATGCCCGGCTCGCGCAGAGCGGCGCGCGGAGCGCTGGTGCTCGTGGCAGCGCTCGCCGCTTGGAGCTCGGTCCCCTCCGCCTTCACGGGCTCCAGCACCGCGGCGCCCAGGACTTCGCTGACTCGGAGGAACGGCTACCGCCTGGATTGGATGCTCGAGAAGAAGGACGGGACCAGCGACCTCCAGACGCAGGACGGCTACTGGGTCGGCGAGGTCGGCTTCGAGCGCTCGCAGGGCGCCCAGGGCCTCCGCTACCGCATGCGGCCCACCAGGCAGGAGTTCCTGGAGGGCAAGGAGGTCGACAACCTCATGTACGCCATCGGCCCCGTCAAGTTCAGGGTTGGGGAGGCATTCGGAGGCACTGGCAACAACGAGGCCAATCGCCAGCTGAAGAGGAAGCTCGTGGCGGAAGACCTCACCGATCCCGCGAAGATCGAGGAGAACAAGTACTGGAAAGCCCGGTACGGCTACGAGCGCTGGGACATGGGCAACATCGACCAGTCGACCGGCTTGGCCACCACGTGGTTCCGTGGCCTGGCCGCCTGGTCCGGCCTCGACCCAAAGAAGGAGGAGCGCGGCGTGACCTGGTTCGAGGCCGATTGGGGCAAGCCGTGGCTGAAGAAGTACGTGGGCACCAAGCTCCCAGGCTGGGTCTCCGCCGCGCAGGTCGAGAAGGAGTTCGACACCGGCAATTGAAGCCATGCAAATTGCATACACGTACATTTTCTGAGCTCCGCGCGGATTTCTTGGATCGGATGCAATGAATCCGCGCGGAGCTCCGAAAGTTTACAATTCTGCCGTGTTGTCTCCTTCCAGGCAAGCTGAATGGCAAGTACCTCACCCTGCCCAAGCCCAACGACAACGCCAAGGCCACCGGCATCTACGGCCCGTCTGCCCAGCTTAAGTAGCGGGCCCGTAGGCGCGGGCAGCCTGGACCACTGTGCCCAGCGTGAGCCGGGGATGTCAACCGACCACCTCGCCGATCGTGACTGGGCCCACCCTGCGGCCCAGGATCGGTGTACATCGAAGAAGAGCCAATCGAGACAACGGCGGTACTCCCCAGCGATTTCTTGTCCTTCGGGGCCTGCCGCAGGCTTCTCGTGGCTGGACCCGCCGTGAAAAACAGACCAGGGTCAATCATTGGAGGGGTCCAGGGACTGATCAGTTTTGAGCGGATTTTGCCCTGGGCGTCTTTCCTTACAGTCAGGCAAATTTGCATGCCCGGAGTTCCCCCCTACGCCGCGTTTTCAAACAGCGGCTGGCCGAAAAGGCGTGCAAGTGTGTCCTGGCTTGCGTGATGTCCAGATTTCTTTTCGGGCCTCGCCGCGCCCTCCCCCCACCTACACGCAGTGAGACATGACATAATCCACATATAAACTGCCTCCGTGAGAAACGTGTCAGGGTGAACTCCGTGAGGGACCCGGGGACCGACAGCTTTTGAACGGATGTGGCCGTCTTCCGAGTACAGGCGCTCCTGGCTTGGTCGGGGAAGCGTATAGACTCCGATCCTGGACCCAGGATAGGCCCGGCTGGCCAGGGAGGCCGAAGTGGGAACGGAAACAGTGGAGACGATGAGCGGCAGCAGGTCTCGAATAAGAGAAAGGGGCGCAGGCATACGGTCAGGAATTCGTGCTTGGCGTGTCGCGCCGCCGGTTCTGGCTCACCACGCTTCGGCGCGACACGCTGACCACGCGCCCTTTCCCGAGCGTCAGCGCCCCAGGCTCCCCACCCCGCGGAGTGGAGCGACGCGCCATCCGCTCGCAGGGGCTCGCGTGTCGCCAGGGCCGCTGCCGCGACACGCCAAGCCACGGCCCCCGACCAGCAGAGAGTCCAGGCCTCCCAGATGTGGTCCGAGCAGATGGGGTCGGAGGATCGCGCCGTATCGCCGATGCATCGGCGATGCGGCTCGATGTGGGCGGCGATGCGGCGCGGCTCCAGCTGCTCGGACTCCATCCGGGAGGCCACCGGAGGGTGGGGCACGGGCAGAAGCGCCCCGATGTCCGCGCGGGTCTCCTGGACCGCAGTTGGGGGGGGGCGCCACGGGCGTCTCCCATGGCGCGCTCGATGCCAGAAGTCGGCGCGGAACTCCGAAGGTCGGTGCTCGTCTATATGTCACCCCCCGGGGCTCGAAGGCAGCCGCGCTTCGCAGATCGCGGCTCGGGTTGAGAAGGTGCCTTTCTGCAGGGCGGCAGCGCGAAGATGACTGGTGCGACGTCTGAGGGCGCAAAGTCAGGCGACTTGGTTTACAGTCAACCCGCATAGTAAGGATGGGCAACGTTCCCAAGGCTACCCTTACATCCCTGCCCCTTCGGCCCGTCCTTAGCGACTTTTGCTGGCCAACCTCTTTCGGACAACGTCAACATGTGCTCCGAAGGCCCTTGCATCCTTACCGCGCATCCTTACTATACGGGTTGACTGTATGCAGAGGTTGCCCTCGTCTACCTGCCCCCTTTCCTGTTCGGTCAGTGGGGGCCACCGTCGCCTGCTTCACCCGCGGCCGCCGTCGGCTCTGGACAGCGTGTGCTGTCTGGCGTCGTCACCACTCTGTCCGTCCCCCGTCCGAGGGCTCCAAGTTGGGGGGCGGCTCGATTCGCCCTGAGCGAAAGGGCCTCTGAGGGAAAGTGGTCCCAGGGTGCTTCTCGCCGTGTCTCGCCTCGCTGGGCCCTCCACGGGCCCGTGGCGTTGTCGAAGAGCGGCTCAGCATGGAGTCCTCGTCCCAGGGGCAATCTCCGAGATCTCGGACCGCTTCCCTCATCGACGAAGGGAGAGTAGCATAAACAGCAGTTTTCGAAGGTCCGAGAGACGGACTTCTTCGATCTGCGCCTCTGGCGCCGCCAGTGGGTCCAGCGCAGATCCAAGAAGTCCGCGTGGCGGATCTCCGAACATGTGTGTGTTGATGCAGTCTTGGGTTTCTCTGGAAAGCTGCGGGATCCAGGGTCCCTTTCCTTAGGACCCGGGACTTTCCTGGGGCCCCCAATGACCATATCGCGTGGTAAGTCAGTGGGCAATCGGGAGTACAGCACGGTTTTGGGACTCGGGTTGTTCTCCGAGGACGTCTCGGGTGATTGGGGCCTCCGAGGTCCCAAAACCATGCGGTGACGGACCGCGCGGTGAGGTCGCTGGGGATTCCGAGCTGACCACGCGGTCCGTCACCACACGGTTCTGGGGCCCCGAAACTTTCGTGCCAGTTCACCGCTCAGCGGATGCCAATCGTCTTTCCTTTCCTGCCCGTTGACGTGCGCGCACGGGTCCGACCAGGGCGGTTGCTTCCTCCTCCTCCTCCTCCACGTCATCTTCCTCCATATGCTTCTCCACCTCACCCTCCTCCTTCTCCTCCTCCTCGTCATCCTACACCTCCTTCTCGTCGTCCTATTCCTCCTCCACGTCATCCTCCTTCTCCACGTCGTCCTCCTCCACGTAATCCTCCTGCTCCTCCTCCTCCGCCTCCTCCTCCTCCTCCTCCACGTCATCCCCCACCTCTTTCTCCACCTCTTCCTCCTCCCTCCGCCGCCTCCTCCTCCTCGTCCTCCTCCTCGCCCTCTTTCCCAGACTTCCACATTATGGGGGAGAACCAGTTGCGTTTTGTTTTGACAGTTTTCTGCTTTCGGGGGCCCTCGCTGGGCCCCGCAGACACCGAATGACGACTCAGGATGACAAGCCAGCCCTTGGGAAGGGTCGGGACTCCGAGGACCCCGCATCGGAAAAAATGCGCATCGGATATGCAGGGTGTCTCGGGACGGACGAGAGGGGGTGTTGAAGTCTGCTGCGCGCAGCTGCGGCCAGGCGCCGCCGCCGTGCACATCTCGCCAGAAAAACCAGTGGCGTCCAGCAGATGCGCTGGCCCCGACCCCTCTTGTGCCACCCCCCCTTCTCGACCGCCCCGAGCCTCCTCCTCCTGCAGCGCGCACGGCAGGGGAGTGGGGCGAGGGGGGTACACGATTGAAGCACATCCCTGTCCCTATGTTTAGCATCACCTCAACTCGGCACCAATCTTAAGAATCCTTCCAGTGTCTGAGGGGCACATCCCTGAGAGCCTTGGGCTTGCCGATCTTAGTGGCCTGACCCCCCTTCTGCTACCCCCAATCCCCCTCCTCTGCCCTTCTCCTCCGCCCCGATGCTCCTCCTCCTCCGGCAGCGCGCACGGCAGGGGGGTGGGGCGAGGGGGCCCTCGCCGGTCTCCAGGGCCGTCAGACGAACGTCGGCCGTGCGCAGCGAGGGAGGTGTGGAGAGGGAGAGGAGGGCCTCTTGGAAGCACCCCTGCCTCTTCCTTGCTTATAGTTGTGGGAAGCAGCCTCCTTTCAGGGGTGGGGCCTCCGAGAAGGCGCGGCAGCTCTCCGAGGGGTCCGAGGCCTCCAGGAGGGCTCCCTGGGGGGGCAGGCCACGAGGGTGGGCGGGGGGGGGCTTCTGGGCAGCCCGCTGCGAGGAGGAGGAGGAGGAGGAGGAGGAGGAGGAGGACATGAGATGAGATGATATTCGACAGAGCCCTGAAGGCGGTAGCAAGAGAAGGAGGAGGAAGAGGAGGAGGAGCAGGAATAGGAGGAGGAGGAGGAGGAGGAGGAGGAGGAGGAAGAAGAGCACCGCGAAGAGGAGGAGGAGGAGGAGGAGGAGGAGGAGGACTGCGAAGAGGGGGAGGAGGAGGAGGAGGAGAAGGAGGAGGAGGAGGAGGAGGAGGAGGAGGAGGCGGAGGAGGCGGAGGAGGCGGAGGAGGAGGAGGAGAAGGAGGAGGAGGAGGAGGACAAGGAGGAGGAGAACGAGGACGCAGCCCATGTAGCGTGCAGGTTGTCGTCGCCGGCCCCAAAAACCATGTAAAGAGTCTTGGGCGCTTTCCCCCGTCTGCCGGGGAAAGCCCGCGCCGGAGCAGTGGTGGCGGGAATGCGGTCCAAAGAAAGGAGTACGAGGGATATAAGGAGAAGCGCGGCGAGCAGGAGAAGGACCTGCTCGTGGCACGCGTGGTCCACGTTAGGACACCTAGGCCCTCTTCCTGCGCTCTGCGCACCATGAGTCCTCCCCGCCCTCCCCTCCTCTTCAGGGGCAACGTCAGGGGGGGACTGGCCCAAAAAGGGAGGCATCGGCCCCCAATGACCCGTTCCTCGCCGATCGGGGCCTGGGCGCCCCGGCCTGCCCAGGAATTTGCAGTTCTGCCATCGGCGATGCCTCGCCGACTCAAACTCGATGTTTTCTAGCCTGAGCGGGTCCCCCCTGGCGCTCGTCCTCTTTCCTCCCTCCCTCCAGCCCGCAGTTTTCATCCGGGTGCACGCGCCGCTGCCGCATAGCTGCAAATCCGCAGACACCTGTGCGTCACGAAAAAGCACCGACGGAGAGATTCTGAACGTTTTTGACCCTGGGGCCCTCGCCAGGCCCCGGGGCCGCCAACGAACGACTCGGGGTGAAACGCTGGTCCCCGGGAAGGGGTTCAGACCTATACGGGGCCACGTCGTGAAATAATCACGACGTCGGGGGTCTGGGCTGCCGGCAGCCTTTGCCACCTCGGGGGCCCAGGGCGGTGGTGGCGGCGATTGTTCATTTACCCGAGGCTGCGCCCCTCCTCAACCTATGTGTGCAATCCCTCGCCGAAGCATCTCGTGTCGTATCCAAGGCCCGCGGCGCACCTCACCGCCCTCGCTTGTGAGCCCTTCAGGGGCCACAGTAGAGCGGGATACGCTCAGTCGGGCACGCATCGACACCCAATCGCCCAATGATCGCCGATATGGGACCCGATAGCCCACCCCGCCCAGGAACGTGCTGATTCGCTATCGGGGGCCTGTCGCCGGTTTATGGGCAATTGATCGCCGATTCCAGGTAGATGTTTCCTCCATGAGCTCGCCTAACATTCTCCCTCAGCCCTGCCATGGCTTGTCGCCCCCCGCCACCAGCCCGTGCCGCACCGGCCACCACGTTGTGGGCGACG